AGGGCCAGGCTGGCAGCATCAGGACCAGGCTCGCAGTGCACGCTGGTCCGGTCAGGGATAGTCTAGGTGGGCAGGCCGGGCGCAGCATGGCCTGGCCGGGAGGCCAAGCTGGGAGTGTCAGGGCCAGGCTGGCAGTACATGCTGGTAGCAGCAGGGGCTGTCTTGGGGGCGTGGCTGGGCGTGGCAGGGCCCTTCTCGGAGGCCAGGCTGGGGGTGGCAGGACCAGGCTGTGCGGTAGTGCTGGGAGCATTAGGGCCACGGTGGTAGGCAAGGCTGGTATCGGCTGGGCCAAGCTGGCAGTACATGCTGGGCACAGCAGACCCAGTCTCGGAGGCTAGGCTGAGCGCGGCAGGGCCAGGCCGGGAGGCCAGCCTGGGAGTAGCTGGGCCAGGCTGGTAGTACATGCTGTTCGCGGCAGGGACAGTGTCGGAGGCAAGGCTGGGCGCAGTAGATCCAGTCTGGGAGTCCAGGCTGGGCACCGCAGGGCCAGTCTGGGAGGTCCGGCTGGGAGCATCAGGACCACGGTGGTAGGCCAGGCTGGTAGCGGCTGGGCCAGGCTGGCCGTACATGCTGGTTGCGTCAGGGCCAGTGTCGGAGGCCAGATTGGGCGCGGCAGGGCCAGGCTGGGGTGACAGCCATGGAGCAGGAGGGCCAGGTGGAGGGGATAGGGTGGGAGCATCAGGGCCACGGTGGTAGGCCAGGCTAGTATCGGCTGGGGCAAGCTGACAGTACATGCTGGATCCAGTCTGGGAGTCCAGGCTGGGCACCGCAGGGCCAGTCTGGGAGGTCTGGCTGGGAGCATCAGGGCCACGGTGGTAGGCCAGGCTAGTATCGGCTGGGGCAAGCTGACAGTACATGCTGGATCCAGTCTGGGAGTCCAGGCTGGGCACCGCAGGGCCAGTCTGGGAGGTCTGGCTGGGAGCATCAGGGCCACGGTGGTAGGCCAGGCTAGTATCGGCTGGGGCAAGCTGACAGTACATGCTGGATCCAGTCTGGGAGTCCAGGCTGGGCACCGCAGGGCCAGTCTGGGAGGTCTGGCTGGGAGCATCAGGGCCACGGTGGTAGGCCAGGCTAGTATCGGCTGGGGCAAGCTGACAGTACATGCTGGATCCAGTCTGGGAGTCCAGGCTGGGCACCGCAGGGCCAGTCTGGGAGGTCTGGCTGGGAGCATCAGGGCCACGGTGGTAGGCCAGGCTAGTATCGGCTGGGGCAAGCTGACAGTACATGCTGGATCCAGTCTGGGAGTCCAGGCTGGGCACCGCAGGGCCAGTCTGGGAGGTCTGGCTGGGAGCATCAGGGCCACGGTGGTAGGCCAGGCTAGTATCGGCTGGGGCAAGCTGACAGTACATGCTGGATCCAGTCTGGGAGTCCAGGCTGGGCACCGCAGGGCCAGTCTGGGAGGTCTGGCTGGGAGCATCAGGGCCACGGTGGTAGGCCAGGCTAGTATCGGCTGGGGCAAGCTGACAGTACATGCTGGATCCAGTCTGGGAGTCCAGGCTGGGCACCGCAGGGCCAGTCTGGGAGGTCTGGCTGGGAGCATCAGGGCCACGGTGGTAGGCCAGGCTAGTATCGGCTGGGGCAAGCTGACAGTACATGCTGGATCCAGTCTGGGAGTCCAGGCTGGGCACCGCAGGGCCAGTCTGGGAGGTCTGGCTGGGAGCATCAGGGCCACGGTGGTAGGCCAGGCTAGTATCGGCTGGGGCAAGCTGACAGTACATGCTGGATCCAGTCTGGGAGTCCAGGCTGGGCACCGCAGGGCCAGTCTGGGAGGTCTGGCTGGGAGCATCAGGGCCACGGTGGTAGGCCAGGCTAGTATCGGCTGGGGCAAGCTGACAGTACATGCTGGATCCAGTCTGGGAGTCCAGGCTGGGCACCGCAGGGCCAGTCTGGGAGGTCTGGCTGGGAGCATCAGGGCCACGGTGGTAGGCCAGGCTAGTATCGGCTGGGGCAAGCTGACAGTACATGCTGGATCCAGTCTGGGAGTCCAGGCTGGGCACCGCAGGGCCAGTCTGGGAGGTCTGGCTGGGAGCATCAGGGCCACGGTGGTAGGCCAGGCTAGTATCGGCTGGGGCAAGCTGACAGTACATGCTGGATCCAGTCTGGGAGTCCAGGCTGGGCACCGCAGGGCCAGTCTGGGAGGTCTGGCTGGGAGCATCAGGGCCACGGTGGTAGGCCAGGCTAGTATCGGCTGGGGCAAGCTGACAGTACATGCTGGATCCAGTCTGGGAGTCCAGGCTGGGCACCGCAGGGCCAGTCTGGGAGGTCTGGCTGGGAGCATCAGGGCCACGGTGGTAGGCCAGGCTAGTATCGGCTGGGGCAAGCTGACAGTACATGCTGGATCCAGTCTGGGAGTCCAGGCTGGGCACCGCAGGGCCAGTCTGGGAGGTCTGGCTGGGAGCATCAGGGCCACGGTGGTAGGCCAGGCTAGTATCGGCTGGGGCAAGCTGACAGTACATGCTGGATCCAGTCTGGGAGTCCAGGCTGGGCACCGCAGGGCCAGTCTGGGAGGTCTGGCTGGGAGCATCAGGGCCACGGTGGTAGGCCAGGCTAGTATCGGCTGGGGCAAGCTGACAGTACATGCTGGATCCAGTCTGGGAGTCCAGGCTGGGCACCGCAGGGCCAGTCTGGGAGGTCTGGCTGGGAGCATCAGGGCCACGGTGGTAGGCCAGGCTGGTAGCGGCTGGGCCAGGCTGGCCGTACATGCTGGTTGCGTCAGGGCCAGTGTCGGAGGCCAGATTGGGCGCGGCAGGGCCAGGCTGGGAGCGTCAGGGCCAGGCTGGCAGTACAGCCTGGTCACGGCAGGGACAGTCTCAGAGGCCAGGCTGGGAGCAGCAG